CGAAAACTGGGGGGAGGAGGGGGAAGTGTAGGGGGGGGGTTTCTGGGATATACCCTTTGGGTGGTTGATGATGCATGGAGGGGATTGGAACCATGGCAGTGAGATGATATACGATGGAATGAATGTAAAACTAAAGTTCTCCCATGTAAACTATTATATAATTCACAATAAAACATTAAAAAAAAACAAAAAAACTTTCCAGATTCAAAAACAAAAACAAACTCCCAACAAAAAAAGTCCAGTTGGCTTTACTGGAAAATTTTACCAAACATTCAGAAAAGAGTTGACACCAATTTTACTACAACACTCAACAAAGTAAGAATTGAAGGGAAATTCCTCAACATAATTAAGAGTATATATACAGAATGAAAGGGATAAGGTAGAATCCCCACTGAATAGTTTTCTTCTTTTTCAGATGGATCTGGTGAAAGTGGATGGGGAATGATGGTGATAGGATTTTATGATTCAATGGTAAGTAATTGTTGTCACAACTGTAATTGTAGAAGATGTGTAACTGTAAGGGGGAGTAGTTAATCTTTCATTTTAGGAACAGACGATCCTAGGACCATCATGAAGGAAGAGCATCAGTGAAGCATGAGACCCTATGTAGAAAAATGGTGATAGCAGAGACAGGCAGAGGCAATGCTATGGAGAGACAGAGCAGCTGCGGGCTCTGGGCCCATGGACTAAGTAAAGCTGAGTGCCTGTAGGCAAAAGAATGGCTTGCGGAATGTGCCCTTTGGACATTTAAATGAATATATATTTTTTGTTTTGTGTATGTACATCAGTATGTACATATTTTTGCCTTGTTCATTTGTGAAATGTAAGATGTACATTGGGAACCACTGGGAGGAAGTAGGATAACTGTTGTTGCAGAGAGGGGATTATAATCATTGAGATAAAACAAAGTGCATGATTTGTTGAATGTAAAGTTGAAGATCTTGTCTGTTAACCTTCCCTCAAGTCACAATAAAAAGTTAATAAAGGGGAAAAGCATTTGATATAAAAGTAGAGTTCTAGTCTCATTTTCCTGTTGAGATGTACAGGATGATGGAGCTGCCAACAGCATGGGTGAAATGGGAAGGTCATGGATAGGAAGAAGGCTTAGGTGAGGACCCACAAGTAGACTGGTTAATGCTGGAATCATACTGTGCTATTGCTATTGCATTCCTCTTCCTCTGAACTTACCATCAATTCGGCTGACAAGCTCTTCTAGTGCCTTGACCTTCTTCTGGATTCCCGGTTGAGCAAAGGTGTAGTTATCCTGCAAATGATACAGAGTCCAGGATTAGTGGTGGCTTCAAATAGTTGTGCTTCCACCCCTCAAGTTCACTGAACCACATATGAAAGCACAAGCTGTATTTCCAAAGCTAACGCCAATGACTGATGACAGTGTTTTATAGAAGAAAGTAATCTTTCTTCTATAAAAACATTAGCTATGAGGGAAAGCTTAACAGTGCTACACATTGTGGAGATAAATCCATGTGGCTTGGAGTGTATAGCAGAAAGAAGTATACACTGATGACATCAAAGCCAGATTTCCTTAGATGCCTGATGGCACTAGACCATTGCTTTGTGAAAGTTGCTGTGAAAGAGATAGAGATGTAAAGAACAAAAAGGAAGAGGAGGAGTCATGTTAGGTGTGTGGCCCTATCTGATGCAGAAGAGTACTAAGGAAGCCAGAGGCCTGTAGGAGGCCCTGGACCCAGACAGACATCCTCACAAAGGTGGAACCAGCTCACCTGGATTCCATCCAGTAGTTTGCTCATGCACCAAAAGCTGTCCGCTTCAATGCTTCGCAGCATGTCCTGAGACAAGTTGGTCACGTCAAAGTTCTCCACATCCTCTTCTGTAAAACAAAAGGTGAAGAAAGTCCAGAGGTCTTATCTAAAAAATGGAAAGAGAAAGATAGAGTCTAGTGTCTTCAATGGAGTCCTTAAAGGTCAGGGAGAACCAGGCTAACATGATGCCAAGGAATGATGGTCTGTCCCTCTCCTCCCCTTTTCAGGTGGACAGATGTGTCCCAGAGAATTTTGTGAGGATTTCATTACACCACTGAACAAGCTACTCTCACATCACCTGTGGGATCCAACATCTCTTTCCTTTCCTCTGCATTTCTTCATTCTGTTTTAGAAAAAGTAATTCTGGCCTCATGTTCAATGAGCTATACTCAGTTCCCTGTAGATGTCTGGAAACTCCTTTGATTTCAGAAGTTGAGTGAGCTGTCTAGCACCGCTATATGTAGTAAGAAGAACAGAGATCAGATATCCCCCATGGTTCACTTGAAAGAAGGAATCCCCAAATCCTGACAAGGCAAACTCACTGTCTGACCACTCAGAAGTGATGATGTAGAAATGATAGAAGACCCAAACCTGTGGATGCTTCTAGGATTTAACTCCATCAAGCTGACAGTTTCCAAGATGGGTTCTGCAGAACACCAATCCTATAGAATACTCAAGGAGAAAAAAAAAGAGGTTCCACAGACAAGCGTAGAGAAATGTTGCACAATATATCCCCATATTGGAGATTCATAAAAAGCATACGGTACAAAACAAAACAAAACAAAAAGCATAGGGTACAGTGTCTGAAAAGTTGCATCAAATTCTTCATTAAATAAATCTACTTGACTCTCTTTATTTGGCATATTCCAAACTTGGTCAGTCATGGAACCTCTTTTAAAGAAAAATGGCCTATTAGCTTCTTGTAGAAACCCCATACTAATAAGAGTGCTAAGTTCTTCCTTTCTGTCACAGGAAAGAAAATGCAATAGGAAAGACTCTTTGTCCAACAGGACAGGCTCCCAGAGCACACAGATCACACATGGAAACACCCAAGCCCTTGAGTTTTACACCAAAGGCAGCGTTTCGCCATAGATCTACCAGCTCTATTTTGAACACAGGATGTTCACTGCAGTCCTTTGAGCTGCAGATAGACACTGGCATCTAACAAATCATATTTAGAATCCAGCCTTTCCACTTAAGAGAATTTTTACAAAGACCTATAACCCAACCTCCCAATGACAATATGCCACCTAGATTACCATCCTATTTAAAGACAATTAAAAAAATATTATTTTTATGGGCACCAAGAGCCATTATAAACAAACAAATAAAACCCTTTTGGGGAAGCTGTGATCCTGGGAAGAATCTAAAAGTCCGGCTCAACATATGTTGTTGTTGTTGTTATGTGCTGTGGAGTCGGTTCCAATTCATAGCGACCCTGTACAGGGTTTCCGAGGCTGTAAATCTTTACAGGAGCAGAGAGCCTCATCTTTCTCTCGTGGAACAGCTGGTAGTTTCCAACTGCTGACCGTGAGATTACCTGCCTGATTCGTAACCACTACAATAGTCACAGTTATGTATGCATGTTCTAATGACAGTGCCTGTCCACAGTTGGCACAATAGTTATTTTATATAAAGTCTGTTAGGCATTTGTAATGACATTGCATTAAGGAAAAAAGTAAGGTACATATTTATAGTATAATCATAACCACTGCACATACAATATTTATGTGTGCTTATATAAGCACAGAGGAAAGACAAAATACATCACAAGGTTTGTACTGTTTATCCCTAGGTGGTGGGGATAAAGGATTTTTATTTTCTTTAAGCTTTACGAGACTTCAAGATTTCTACAACAAGCATAATTTTTATAATCAGAACAAAATGCATACTGCTTTGAAAAAGAAGACCCACAATTGACTATGTCTGCCTTTTATCACCAATAAAGAATACAAAATTTTTTAAGACAAAACTAAGCTTGCAGAAATTAAGAATTTATATAATCTATAAAGGTCATTTGAGAAATGACATTAAAAAATCTTTTAAGAAATATCATTTTCCTTTAATCTAGCTTAAACATTTATTACATAGTATTTTCAGGTGACTAGACATGTATTATTAATTCAGCTAATGAAACTGCTGTTAAGAGCCAGCTTAGAATTTTCCTTTTTCTTTGTGCTTCATATTATATTATAACTCTGAGATCCTTCCACGGTACACCTCCACAAGAGTTGAGTTTATATATCCATTCCCCTAGGGATGGATACCCATGTTGCCTCTAACTCCCAGTACTACAAGCAATGCCACAAGGAACTGTCTGTCTCCTTCAATCCCATACAGGAACTGTACTGGGTCACAGGTTCATGCAGACCTAACCCAACTGGTACTGCTAAGCCACATGCCAGGACGAGCCTCAGCGGCCTTCACTCACTCCCAACAGCAGTGCAAAATTGTACAAGGAAAGAGGATGTGTCCTGTCCTTAGTAGTCATCATGGCAGCTCCCACTAACTGGTCCTAAGCAGCAGCAACCCCTTCATGAGATGAGAGTTACAGCAGGGGACAAAAAATGTGAAACCTACTAGGAAGGTTCAAGGCAAAAGCCGCTTACTCTGACCATGCACAATTCCCAAGTGAAGACCCAGACAACCAAAATAATTTGAAAAGTGTTTTCCAACTTGGACATTCTATGATCCCAGAACGTTGTAGCAGGAATGCAACTGGAAACCACGGATGGCAAAGCAAAAAGAGCCGGGGTCCCTGAGGACAATGTGGAACACAGCTGCCATTATTAGCTGTGGTGACCTGTGGATTGCTTTTTTTTTTTTTTGTCAGACTGACAGGCATGTAGTTAAGAGCACAGGCCCTGGAGCCAGATTGGCATAGCTCACATCCTAGCCCTGCCACTTGCTAGTTATGTGACTTTGGATAATTGACTTTGCTGTCTGTGTCTCAATTCCTCATCTGTTAAGGTGGCACTATCTGTACCCAGATTACTGTAAAGATTAAGTGAATTAATATATGAAAAATCCTAGCAATAGTGCCTGGCATAAAATAAGTATAATGCAAATGTTACCAGTCATCATTCTTCTTATTATACAATGAAAAACTCTTGTTCAAGCCACTGTAATTTGGATCTGTGTTTTTCACAGCCAAAGTTAATATGAGCATCATCCCAGATGATAACCAAGCCCTAACTATCATCCTAAAATGTACCTTATAAATAGGTTAATTTTCAAAGCTTTCCACTTCCACCTTTTGGTCTTGAGGAGGAAAATGTTATCTGTAATGTGATTTTAGAAAACAGAAAATCTGACCATTAATAAAGATGTCAATCTCCGGAACTGAACCAATTCCAAATGTTTAATTATTCAGGGAGCAAAAAGATCAACAGACAAGATGCTGAACCATACTTGGGGGCCTTAAATTGGGGCTGCTACATGCCCACGTTCTGCCCTAAGAACACCTAGTCTTCCCATTAGCTTCTTTTCTTTCACAAGCAGTGAGATGGTTCCCTAGAATGTCAGAGTAGGAGGGAGGGTTGAGGTCTGTTTTTCTGCCTGCTAGGCAGAAGAAATTCACACATTCAGTCAAAAAAAAGCTGTGAGTTGGGTACACCAACAAAACAACTCAGAGAAAGAGGAGCCCAAATGCTCTCTGACGGGCTTCATTCAGCATAAACAATCTGTTCAGAGGATCATTAGACGACCCACTTGAGGGCAGTCAACACATAATTGAAGCCAGAATGGGAAACCAGGCCAGCAGTGCAGCCTCCAGTGAGGGCCGAGTCTTCCGTTGTCTGTACAGAGCATATGGCAGCCAGGACCCAGGCAGGAGGCAGTAGGATTTTGAAGGCTATGTTATTGCTATTTTAAGAGGCAAAGTATCCAAAAAGAAGACAACCAACGTTCTTTATAAAAATCAAATCGCCCACTCTGGACTTGACAAGGGTTGTTTACTAGCTCATAAAATGTATAGAGTGGCGGTTCCAGTCAACTCCTGATCTTCCTGAGAACTCGCTGATAATTTGGGCAAGATTGATTTTGCTAAATTGGTAACTTGTCCATTCATGCTTCAGGAGTTTCCATGGAGGCATCTGTGACTCCGGGGAAATTTCTAGGTTTTGTAACCAGTGAAGTCAGAAGGATTCCACCTGACTGGCAGGAGCAGGAGGGTTCAAGGCATTAGACTGCGGATGCGGTTTCTATTTTCTAGAGCCTCCAACCTACCTAAATCATGTCTTCTTTTCTTCTTTTTAAAGCTGGACTCACTAAAAAATCCTGCATATTTTCTGACCACAAAAGGAAACTGACTGAGAAGAGGAAAAATAGAAATATTTTCGGTCATAAGTCTACAGAATTTTATACAACAGGAGCTTACACATTTCATCTAGAAAAACACTGCCTTAAGAATAGCATGAAGGAACTCATTTGCTCTCATCTGTGTACAATAATGTTGAAGTAGCTCAGTGCAGAATAACCCTTAGGTTGGTATTATTCAGCTGGCATTTTCAGGCAAGGACTTGGCGGGAGTAACTGAGGCAATGACAGCACCACAAACCTCTGGAGGGTGGAGAGGCCACTCCGCTCCACTGGGAAAGCCAGTCTACTGACACAGAGAGGATACCGTGCTCCAGGGAGAAGGTCAAAGACTGATTCTGAGCAGGCTACTGAGAAAAGACCCACAGGAAGGCGGCTCTATTTCATGAGGAGAAGGCGGGCTGTTTTGAAAAGGTTGGGAAGCAGTAGACCATAGAGCCCTTCTCGACACTGTGCCTGTCAATCTGGAGGGACTAAAAGCCACATATTAACTTGGAATTATAAAGGAACTCTGACTGTATACTACTCAGCTGGGGGGTAGCCTGTGTGAATGTGTGTGGTATGATGTTGTGGGTAAAATTAATTAAAAAACCAAAATACCACTGATTTTCCTCAGATTCCTGTGTTACTTTTACTTAGGAAACTAGAGACTGCTGGTTAACATAGCCTCTTGGCACCAGCTGTAGATCTCAGACTATATGCACCCAAACTATATGAATATTCAGGTTATGGGGGCAAGGAGGGACAAGGT